CTTTCTATAAACATTGAAATTAAATGTTCATAGTTCACACCATCAATTGAACTTACTTAATTAAACAACCACTGTGTAGACTAAGATATAGATGTTCATGATGTAAACAATGAAAATTCAATCACCAACATCAATCCCTTACCTTGTATTAAAAATTAATAGATTAAGTTTAATTGTACAACATTATAGAAATTAGATTATTCAGAAGTGAATACGTAAACATGTATATTAATATGATGTAATATAAACAAAATAATGTAATTATGAGGAAAGATGGATAGTGGCTAGCAGTGGAATCCAGTTTGATGCGCGTTTCGTCCTATTTGCGATTCGTCATCTGGATGTGCCTGCATCTCAGAATTGATGTTCATTCTGGGGCTCGAGTGGATAACACGATGGCGTTTAAAGCTAAAGATACTGGGTTCGAGTCTCAGAGTGAACATCAACTCTGAGACGCAGGTACATCCAGCTGACGAGTCCCAAATAGGATGAAACGCGCGTCCTGGATTCCACTGCTATCCACTATCCATCTTTGCTGATAATGCTTGTGAATTAAGGCTATATTGAGGCACTACGCACAGTAGGCACATATGCGAATAAGAGACTGACTATTTGTAATCCTAAACATCAATGGGAAGGTTCAAACAAACAATACTAAGTAAATTTAGAATTGATGTAACATCATAAAGGTGGTAATTCATGTTCAAATTATTAATTAGAGGTAATACAATTTAATCATAATTGGAAGTAACACAATAAGCTTTTCAAATAGATTGATTGTTGCTAATAGTGAAATTTAAAGTGCATGCTTCGTCTTATCTCGGACTAGCCTTTCGCTGGTTATACCTGGGTCCTAGCTCTTTAATGTTCGAATTGGGACTCAAACCTAATACTTCTCATTTTACGCGCCCAACAAGTTGTCCACTGACTTAGTGAGTTTCCAGATAACTGACGAAGTAAATCCATGCTTTTTCAATAATAATGTATTACGACAGTACTAAAAGTATACAATCCAGACGAACTAATCCGGTTTAACATAGGACTATTCGGAATTTAGCTCGAAAATTATAACGCAGTAACAGATAGCTTGTATCTAAGTAAATACTGTGATACTTAGTTGATAACCTGTTTGAAGATATGAGAAAGCATAAGAATAGGGACCATAATTTCTGGATATGTAAAGATAACTCTAATGGTTCTTGGTATTTGAAATCAAAGAGATCATTACATTAATATTCATCCTTTTGAATCTTCAAAATATTCGTTAACTTTGTTCTTGGTTATTACATATCACTTGGATTCTTAATGGCTAACAATAAGCTTTACTTTCCAAGAACATATAATAGTCTCTCAAAGCCATCAATATAGTATACTTTTACAGAATCGATTGATTTAAATAATAAACTGTATGTACATTTGGTGTTATTTGTCACTTATCAACAATATATATCTGTGATGTTGAGTGGACCGATGCTCATTGGTGGATCCGAACTCTCATCATCTAGCGTGAGTGTCTGAAATGTTAAAACTTAGCTGTTGGACTCGTTTCCAACTTATATAACTGAGGTATTTACAATCGAATAATCATTGAATAATAAAAAAATCTCTTATTAATCAATAGAATTTGATCTGTGCCAAAAAAACAGCTAGACAAATATGACATTATTCACTACTACTTAGTAGTAATTAATCAATTTTAATATTCTATATTCACCAGATATGTTTGCAAATTGCACTAGTGAAAATATCACTAATCCGTTCCTTTTATGACCTCTCAGGCATTTTGAGTAAATTAATTCTTAAAGGAATAACAAAATCTTAACTATTTTTTTAAAAAAAACTAACGTTGAAAACAATTTCTCACTCGTCACTCATGATGAAAACGACAAACCTTTGTATGTATATATATAATATCCTTATATGCAATCTTTCACTTATAGTTTACTAGCATTGAAGTAACTACCTCTATGAACTTGAACCGATACATATGTGTTTTTGATGTAGGTTTGTTCTCTGAGCTGGATGGTTTGGTCGTGGAGCCTTCATAGTCCTTCTGAACGACATCATCAGCACAAACTTCGGGTAGAAGGACGATGAAAGCGCCACGACCAAACCATCTAGCTTAGAGAACAAACCTACATCAAAATCACCCACCTGAGCTACAAATCTTCTCCACCATCTTAAGATACATATATGTGCCTGGTCCTACGTTGTAGCTGACTGATTGACCGAGAATAAATGAATAGTTTTTAGCCTATTTCGCTACTCATCAACTAAATCTGTACCTAGAATATCTCAATGTTGACATTCACATTGTTATTCATATTCAATATCTTTCACTTCATAGTTTTTCCCCTTTTTATTACTACCAATACAACGTAACACAAAAATCTCATTGATTTGTATGACATAAACTTACAATTGTATTTCTGGTCAAATTCAATTATTCTTGGCTATTGAATGTAGACAGACATAACCTACTTATACATCATCATATATAATAGACTACTTGTTTTTATATACTACTATAAATCTATTTCCTATCCGATATTGTATCCAATAAAAAATTATTATTATTATTATTATTATTATTATTAGTAGTAGTAGTAGTAGTACTGTGACTATTACTATTATGTGGTTCTTGATTCAGTTGTCAGATTTCAAATGTCCACATATCCAAATATTTTATATCACCTATCAAGTTATAACAGTAATATACTAGTGACTTGATTGAAATATCTAAAAACGTTCATAAGTCGTTTTATATCTAGTTGTCTCTTCATAGTTCATAAACATATTATTAAGTAGATATTATATTAGATAGACATACTTCTATTATATATCTATCTGTTTTACAAGTATATACTATTTTGGTTAATGAGTATAGATGAAATCATAAGTCGATTGAAGCTACACCACCATGGAAAACCTGGAAGCACTGAACTGCCGTTTCGTTCTATTGTGGGATTCCTCAGTGGCAGTGCGCATCCATGATCTAGCTTCAATTGACTCATGATTTCAACTATATAAAATTACTGAAATCTCAACAAAACCCCCCTCTGATAATGATCATGTGCTCACTAGTGACTGGCTCCATGAGGTATTTCCTTGAGTTCTAGTGAGAAGCAGTGACTAGTGGAGTTCAACCAGGTCTGTTGCGAGATAGTAACTCACTGAAGAAAATGATGGCTGTGTCGCTCAATTTCGTGGATTGGTTGAAGTTAGACATTAAGACCACTGGATGCCGACCAGCTCAGTGGTCTAGAGGTTGAGCGTTCGCGCACGAGACTGATAGGTCCTGGGTTCTAATCTTACGGGGCGGGATCGTGGATGAGCACTACCGAGGAGTTCCACACTGGGACGAAACGGCCATCCAGTGCTGCCAGGTTTTCCATGATGGTCTAGATTCGATTGACTCATGATTTCAACTATATAAAATAACTAAAATCTCCAATAAACCTTCTTCTGATAATGAATATTGAATCCAAAAAACTAATTGTTTTATGCATAAACTCATGTAAAAAATTTTATCACTTTTTTTATTCTGCCTTATATCATATGATCATAATGCTAATGATAATTATGATGATGTAAACTTATTTAATTATAACTAGATGTATAGAGAATTGAATTATGAGACTATGGAGGGGTTATCAGTAAGTCATTATTAACGTATAGGCCTTTAAATGCCCTGTTATCGCCCACGATGGAGCGGATCTGCTCTCCCTCTTCAAAGGCTCTCACATGGTAATGTGGTAGCAATGATAAGAGTAAGAATAAGCATTGAGAATATAGTTAAAAAAAATACGGTGGTAAGGGATCGAGCAGAAGGTAAAGAATAAATACATGGGCGTCATTGTTAACAATTCTGAATCATTTCTTTTAACGTCCCAACGATAAAAAAATTATTATGAATGTATGGTGTTTGTGGAGAATGTTGAATTTCATGTTTTACATCACTTACTGGCCACTGAAGACCTGAAAGCACTGGATTCAGTGACAGTAAGCATTCACAACCTCCACTTCAGACGATCAAAACCAAGACCTTCATGCCTCTTGGCGAGCACTAAACATTTAGACCTCTGAGCCGACATCCAATAATTTACATTTCCAATTTTATCTATTCACGATATTGTTCAGTCATGTTCCAATGTCGTTTGTGGATTATCCGATCACACTCAATATAGTTGAGCTCCATTATTCACGCCTTCTTACTAGAACTCTAGCAAATAACTCTCGAAATCAGTCATCGGTAAACACATGATTATTTTTAGTATAGGAGCTTTGTGTAGATTGTCGAATTTCATAATTGACTACACAGATTGATCTTATTTCGACAACCGATGATGTTCTTCTTAAGAATTTTCTCTTTATATGACATTTCATCATAGTATTAACAATAGTAGTAGATAATTTATAATCTATTTCTAATATTTACTGATGCTCTTTAAAATATTTTCTGATATCAATTTCTTCATTTTACCCATCACAATGTTTTGATATGATAAGGTTATGGTCTATTATCGATTTCTCGTTTTACAGTCTTAGAATTCTTACGGTTATAATCCAAAATCTTCAGTTCGAATAATGTGTATATGGTTTACTATTAGGTTATTTCTCAGCTTTAATCATTAAGAAACTTTTCAGTGTAAGTAAGTAACTTTGTTCATTTCGAATTAGACTAATTCAGATAACAAATTCCTTATGTCTGTTGTCTACTAACTTCACTGGCAACTTGGACCGATGCATATATGTGACTGACTGACTAACTTCATTCCAAACTAATGACATTATGTGGGTGATATTTTACACTTTTTAACTTCAAAACGATTATAATGTTGAGTCGTGGTTTCCAACCATCTTTATGCATACGTAATCAAATTCCCACCGTTAATCAATATTGATCTTTCTCTTTCTCCCTCTATCTCTTAGATGACATTTCTTATTTTAATGTTCTCTCTCTGTTTATCACCATCTATTTCTTTTCTTTTAAATTATAGGTGCTGTGATAGTTCCAAGTTCATTATTAGGTGTTCTATCTGGTGCTTTACTAATGCGTCATTTTCGACCTACATTACATCGTACCTTATCTGGTTTATGTATTATGATTTCATTGACTGTTATAACGAGTATCAGTTTAATGACAATTGGCTGTCAGTCTAGTCGAGTAGCAGGTATAACAGCTACATATAATGGAGAAAAGTAAGTCAAAATGTGTTTCTTTTTGTGTCACGTGTGTATCTGTGTATCCATAAAATTCCCAATTTATTATTGTTTCTATGGAAGTCCTGTCCTCCTCTTCTCCTCTCTTCTCTATATCGTTAAATGTTACTTTTTTCTATAGACATATCATTTAATAACTTGTTCCCACTTAGTTTTAGTCCCCATTGTTAACTCTTCATTATATGTTACGGTAAACCTACAATATTACTGTGGGATTTTAATCCATTCTAATCAATCAGAAAACAAAAAAACGAATCAGTTTCAACTGAAAATCGGTTCATAGTTTCAACAAAATTCAATAGTCTACACAACCCCAAACTGAAAACCATCACATGCTCATTAGTGACTAGTTTCGAGAGGCTATTCTCGGGGTTCCAATGAGAAGCTGTGACTAGTGGAGTTCAACTGTGTCGGGTTTGTGGCAGCTACCCACCGAAGACAATGGAAGATGTTTGCGCAACATCGTGGATTGGTTGAAGTTAAACATTAGCACCGTTGGATCCTGGCTCAATGGTCAAGAATAAGTTGAGCTTTCACGCGCGAGATCGAAGATCCTGGGTTCGAAACGCGCTTGCGGGATTGTTGATGAGCACTGCTGCTGTGGAGTCCCATACTAAGATGTAACGGCCGTCCACTGCTCTCAGATTTTCAATAGGGGCCTAACATTGGTCGGTTCATGACTTCAACGAAATTCAACAATCTCCAAAATCCCAGTCTAAAACTCAGAAGATTTAAGAAAAATTTATTGTTTTTCATGGTTAATGAAAATTACTAGGTTTGTTACATGTTCTTAATCATTAGAGGTTAGGGTTAGGATAATAATTAAGGTAGGGATTAAGGGTTAGTATATTTATACGTTAATCCGTAGTTATTACCCAAGTTTCACCCATAACCGAAATTCTAACGCTAATCTTATCTCAGCCCTAATCGTAATTTTTCAACATAACACCTTACTTTAATCCTTACTCTCATATCATGTTTCAATACACTTTTGGATTGTCATTTGTCTCACAAACTCACAAATTCGTATTTTCTTGAACAATTCAACGTCTTAGAAACACTTAATTATGTTTTCGTCACTTAATATGGGTATTGTATCTACCGTCAGCATTGTTACTTTATCACCTTTGTTAAATTTCATTTATGGATTGAAATATACTCCGTAACCTCGCAATCGCTTTTGTGATTATATTTCATGTTTGCGATCATGATTATTTTTAAATTCCTAGTCAAACAACTTTGTATCATCTGTACTTTTCATAACAAAATGTGAACATTATGTGACCCGTTGTCTATGCGTGAAGAGATCATTATTTCGATCATTATATCATTATATCGATTGCGTTTTTAACTTACTGTAAATCTTGCATTATTTTCCTTATATCTTATGTTACTTGTACCATGCAATCACAAATATTTTAATCTGACTATTAAATTTTTTGTATTTAGACAAATACAGAGTGAAATCAAATCATTTACAATGTAAAATTAAGTAACGAGTTCGATCCCTACTGGTGTCGAGGATGCACACCTCACACCTAGGTGTTACTAGGATGAAACAGTTGTCTAGTGCTCCCCAGTTTCTAACCGTTGTCTAACGGAGACCAGACCATGATATAATCTAGTGATGAATTTAAACAAGTAACTCTCAGAATTCTAATGAGAAGCGTTGATCAGTGGAATCCCATTCGATTTGTGTAAGATTCAGGTATAATTAGTGTTAGACGGCTTGTACAATCTAGTGGCTGTGGAATATCACAAATTGGTTGTAGTTAGAACGTTATATCATTGGATCCTGACCTAGTGGTTTAAAGGTTTATCACTGATGTCAATTTATAACAAAAACCATCTCCATGCGAGATGAACGCCCTCGAGTTTTATCCCCAGTAAGGTTACGGATGTTCACTTTTACCTAGAAGTTCTATTCTAGAACGGATTTATTATTATTATTAATAATAGATTATTATTTAAACACATAAATATTGGTACAAAATAGAATCAGGTAAATATGCGCCACACAAATCTCATTTGATTTGTGTGAGGGCTGTGATACTGCCCGGGTGCCCAGACCGAAGTAGGTGGTTTTATTAGGGGCCCACACCCTGAGCCTTTGACCTAAAGGTCTGATCCATAAAGCAGTGGAGCATCGTGAGGAGATGCAGTCCCATGGTAGCCGGTGACCAACAATAGGTTCATACGCCATTCATTCCATCAGGATACTGGAACCCATGTGCACCATTAGTTTGTAATCAGTGTTTTGCAACTCCCTTAGGTGGACCCTCCATGTCCACCAACCCTGTTAAAGCGCCAGACATTCGCTTTTCGTCCTCTCAATTTCGTAAACACCCCCGCCACGAGAAGGCAGTGAGTAGGACTTCCCTGTCAGAGGCTATATATTCGCGTGGCCATTAGAGAGCATTTCGAGAGGGAGAGTGGACTCTTCCCACTCTCGGCCGTACCAGGACATTTGTCTAGTGCTTTATAGTTTCAATAGTTCTCCAACTGAAGTAGTTCAGTAATGTAAACTTTAAAATTCAACAATCTTTGTGTTGTCCCCTATATACTAATGAAACTAGTAAGTTGTATATGCCCCATAAAATGTATTTCTGCCTTTTTTTTACTGATAGTTAATTACTGCCTAGACTCTCTTGCTAAACCAGTTTTACTCTACGCTAAATCAATTTTTATACCTTTATGTACATATCTATCTGTTTTATTTTTTGCCGTATGTTTATCATTGTTCGTATTCTTCCATCAGTCGTATTTGTTTTTCGCTAACTGAATCGAGCTAAGTAGACAATCATTAGAATCTGCAAATCACCACTAAAGTAAGGTTGAGATTATCTGCGACGTTTTCAGTGTCCAACAATCATGATGTATCAAGCAATTTCGGGTAAGCTTTTCGTACATCTAGTGCGTGGGTGCTTCGTATTAGAGTCTAATTTTCATAAGAGTGTTTATTTCAATTCCTAACCTACACTATGTTTTTGCCTTTCGTTGAATGTATCAGAGTGTGCTAGATAATGACATAGTTATGTCAAACAGTTTCTGCGAATTCCGCAAACCCGAAATGAATTTTTTCGGTGAAAATTGCACTATAATATGCAGCATCTACTTTCTAAATAAACGGAAAAATACCCGAAAATGCTTGATATATCACACTTATTGAACACTGAAAACATTGGCGATAATCCTAATTGTTATTATTACTCCACAAATATCGTTATCATAACACCAATTGCCTCAATGTTTTAATTATAAAGCTTATTATCAGTATAGGTTTGTGAGGAATGTTGTGTTTTGATTGAGATCATGAATCGATCAATGTTAGACCACTATTGAAAACCTTGAAGCTCTGGACGGACTTTTCGTTCTAGTATGGGATTCCGCAGCAGTGCTCATCTATAATCTCGCGCGCTGTACTCGGACCGAGGACGTTCGGTCTCGCGGGCGAACACTTCAAGTCACAAATGAATTTTTTTTAACAATTATATTAAAATGATTTCGAGTTGATACGAATTGATTTATTTTTTTTTTGACATAGCAATCATTTCTCATTAATTTAATGAATTTAAAGGGTTAACTGTCATTCACACATACATTGTATGGTATAATGGAATACTAAAATAATTCATTCGAAAAAAAATCTGCTGACCAACTATTATGAGACAAGAATAACATGATACTTGTACTCTTGTGTGTGTGTAGTATGAAGCATGATGTGTTGAATTTTTTTTTAGGTCAGTTGAAATAAAACACTATGTATCATTGAGTTTTGTTTGTTGTCGGTCTATTCATATTAATGAACCGTTTGTAAAAAATCTTTGTTCATTCATAAACTGTGATAGTTTATCATTATCGATTCCGTTGACATCATGCTATAACTTCTACCTTGGTGTGGTGGTGGTCAATGTTACCACTCAAGCTGTATTTCCTGATATACTTGTTCTTTTAGGTTAATACCGTTTTGGGCTGGTCAATTGGAGACAAAATGTAGTTAAAAGCAATAAACTTGAAAGTTCGAATATACTATGCAATAATCTGCTCTATTTTAATTTATTCTTATGAAATGTAACCTTTTCTGTATCTAATCTTTTTATTATTACTAATAATGTACCAATTCTGTGATATTCACATCCATTTCATTTTGTTGTGTTAATGTCTTGAATTAGACCATTATAAATATGAGCCAGGCTCCGAGGTTATTTATCACTGATTGAATTCAGTGGATAATAATAAAGATTCATTCTTTGATGTTGATCAGTTGTTTCAGTTTTTGTGAAATGTAAATAACTATCTGTTGCGAATTGATTTGGCAATCTCCTCTTATTGATAGATGAATTATTTTCAGAATAAATTCAACCTTAATCAGTCAGAATTTAGCTCTATGAAGGTTGAATGTCTATGTGTTTTCTTTGTTGGATTATTAATAAAACTTCAGAATTCTTTTGTGTTCTCAATAGTTAGGAGTCTGAATAAAGAGTTTATAGGGTCTTAGTGTAGATTTGGTTAATATATATTTACGTTGCACACAATTATTCTATTAATTCTTGTGTTCATTACTACATTGACATATCGGTTTACATAATTATTTATTTATTTAAACATATAAACATTGGTACTAAAAGAAGCCAAAATATATATGCGCCACATAATAAAAATGAGATTATGAAGAGATAGAGAAAGGTAGGTGAGTAAAATTGTAAAGATGGCTCATTAGCAAACTCAAGGATACCTTAAAAAGCCCATAAAGGGCTGAAGACATTCCATCCAATCACCGCTAGAGGAACATTCTAGAATGTCGACGTGTAGCTTCACTATTGGATGAATAAGAAGGATCCCCTATGTGCTCATTGGCTGCCCGAAATGATGATTTACTTTCAGCCAAAAACTGTAAATACATGAGATTTTTGTACTATATTTGACACTGTGTTGGGAATAACATTCCTACATACTAGTCTTCTGTCTTCTCTCTTGCGACGTTGTGGGTTCGATCATCCACCTCTGTGCTCTTTCCAACCAGTCCCAGCGTCAGCAAATAATGCGCAATATGGAATGGTGAGATTGAACAACCATGCCTTACTGCACTGCTTGAATGAAACAGTGAAGAGAGGTGGTTGTACACCTTCATTCTGCTTTAGGTGTTAGTATGTAGAGCTTTCAAAGTTTTAACACTTCACACCGGTTTATAATTAGAAATAAGTGGCCTAAATAATAATCTTATTTTTTATCACAGTTACTCAACATTCATGTATTTTTCTTGGCAGAATTTTGATCCTTTTATCACAAGGTTTCACTGGAAACTGTTGAATTTCCATAGTTTACATCATTAACTGATCTTAGCTAGACCATAATGCACTTTATAGTGTCGTGAATCAATTAAAGTTTAATGTGTACACAATTAGATTTGCATGCAAGTAAGGGCCGAAGGTTCTTGATTCTATCCGTTTTCTTGAAAATTCACGCAATAAATTGTAACCTTCTTTCTTTCATGGTAAGCAGAGATGGATAGTGGCTAGCATGCTTACCGTGCTTGTGAATTAAGGTATATCGAGGCAATACGCATAGTATGCATATATGCCAATTAGAGACTGACCAGTTGCAGTCCTAAACACATCGATGGGGAGATCCAAACAAATAATACTAAGTGAATTCTTCTTTCTTTCAGTTTGTAAGTATTAATTCTGCTCTGTAGATAATTATCTTTAAGACAACAACAAAAATTAATTTCTCCGTGTCTTTTTCATTCCTTTTATTACATTAAAAGAAGAAGGAGGTCATTTCGACATGTTGGATATTGTGTCCTATAAAGATTAGCGCTTACTTTTATTTAATGTAGTTTAATCAGATTGAACGGAATTCAACCGTATACAAACATTTACACATACAATGACGATGTTTCTATAAATGTAACAGCTCTACATCATATTGACTGACCTTAAAATGACATTTATTCTATATATTTATATACATATATAGCTTCTGATAGCTTGTTCAAAACTATCTCTTTCATTCTAATTTACTAACCCCCTTGTTTTAACGGAAAATTAAAGTATATCCTACTGTTTTCTTTTTATTAAAGTTTATCTTTTTCTTTGAAAAGTTAATTCATATGTTTAATTGAAGTGTAATAGATAGGTTTTCTTTTTGTTATTACTATGGGATGGTTAGTTATTTGTGTGTGGATATTCAACTTGTGATCAGTCGCTGATTCGAGTCCAGTTTCATATAGTTTAGCAACCAACTATTGCCACCCGTTGTCATACACAGTGTGGCTCAAAGCCAACTGTATGAATTTGTACTTGGTGTTGTTGTTTTTACAACGATGCTATAACTCTATTCCATACTGGGACTTATGTTTATATATATATGCTCCCTTTAAACATGATTTACGTAATCGAACTGATAATCACTGCCAAACCATTCAGAATTACAAAGCATTAAATAGGTAGTATAGACCATTCAGCTTACTATTTCTTAGTTCTGTCTGAGCTAACGCATTAACATTTATCGACCACTGAATTAGAATACAACAATTCAATTTATTAACTTAACCGGACAATAAATAGTCCAATAGCATCAATGATTTAACTCAAGAAATAATCTCTCAATTCTCCTTGATGATTTTCAGCAATTGTGTTATATCTTGTAGGTTGAATGCTTTATTCGGATCCTAGCTATTCGGATAACCCCAGGCTAGCACTACTCAGCGACTTGAAAGACCAGAGAGAAGACACGAGTATCAGAGAATCACTTTACTACAAGGTTCATTTATGTACAGAAAAACAGGGGTTTTATAGTAATTAAAAGACCTTGAGATTCCGTAGTAGCAATATGTTTAACAGCCAATCAGGACCTCATTATTTTAGTAGCATAGCTTCTAACTAATCGCTGATTGGTTGGGCTCTTTATGAGCTTCTGGAGGCTCTGATAGAGTTTACTGTAAGCCGACTTAACAAATTGTCTAAATAAAGTCATTATATATATATAGTCCTATTGTGGGACTCCTCAGCTGTGCGCATCCACGATCCCGCCACGCGAGATTCGAACCCAGTGCTTCCTGGTTTTCCATGGTAGTCTAGCTTCAATTAACTCATGATCTCAACTATATAAAATTATTAAAATCTCCACAAAACCTCCTTCTGATAACTAAAGTCTGTCCGTGTAGACTATTAATTGAACAATGTCCTTTCACAAACATTTAGAATGTGTAAAATTTGTTTAATTTGAAATAATTTTTATTCTTGTCATTGTTTAGTTGGCCTTGGAAAAATGGTCCCGGTTTTTTAATACCATCCAATTTAACAGCACCATGTAATCAATTTTGTCACTCTTCTAATAATCGAATAAAAAAACTTGATAATCGTCATTATACACATTATGTTGAATCACAATGTTCAATAAAGCATTATAATCCTGTATGTTGGACTGCTACGACTAGTAGTAGTAGTAGTAGTAGTAGTATCAATAAAAAGACAACAAATAATCGAATAACTTGTACTAGTAGTAATATTGATAATGATGATAAAAATCTCAGTAGTACAAATAACAATGATGATGATGACTGTGATACAAAATCGTTGACATTTTTCAATCCTTGTTTTGCTGGATGTAGAACACGTGTTTTAGAAGCTGGAGTTGTAAAGGTAGGTGTTGTTATTAATGTCTAATTTCTGTTTATTTATCTTTTGTGTTAAGTAGGTCATTGCTCTCCGTATGTTAGATAATTTATATTTCACAATCGTTTTCTTTTGGTTCTTGATATTCTACAGTCTTGATGTCAAGAGATAGAAATTGAAATAATTTATATTTTTATTTATCCAATGATTGAATGATTAAATGAAGTCGATTTCAATTCGAAAAATGATTGTATATTCTAAATTCAACTTAGTATTATTTGTTTGAATCTTCCCATCGATTTGTTAGGACTGCAACTGGTCAGTCTCCAAATAGGACGAAACGCGCGTCCTGGAATCCACTGCTAGCCACTATCCATCTCTGCTAACCATGCTTGTGAATTAAGGTATATCGAGGCATTACGCACAGTATGCACATATGCCAATTAGAGACTGACCAGTTGCAGTCCTAACAAATCGATGGGAAGATTCAAACAAACAATACTAAGTTGAATTTAAACTTCACCCCATCGTACAAGCAAGTGGCTATCAGGACTCAGTGGCCGAGTGGATAACGCGATGGCGTTTTAAGCGAGGGTACTGGGTTCGAGTTCCAGAGTGAACATCAACTCTGAGATGCAGGTACATCCAGCTGACGATCCCCAGATAGGACGAAACGCGCGTCCTGGATCCCACTGCTATCCACCATCCATCTCTGCTAACCATGATTGTATATTCTGTTTGTTGATATTAAGAAATGCAATTGATTGGTCTTTTTTGAAATCTGTGCATTCTGATTGCGAATAGACTCGATATTGCCATTAAGTAACAAGTAATTTTGGACATTAGCAACTCTCAACGGTATCCAAAAAGAAGATACAAAACTTTACAAATTAAATTTGTATTCGTTGGATAGGCTAGTGGCTATCTAGACTTTGTAGCTCAGTGAATAATACGTTAGGCATTTGATGTTACAGTAATGGATTGAAATCTCGTTATGAACATCACTATTGGGACCCACCTATGTCCAGCTGATGAGTCTCAAATAAAATGAAACGCTAGTTGTGAATCCCACTGCTAGCCACCAACCAATTTTACAGGTGTTTGTTTCAGTTTGGCTTTCTGTGTTGGTATGACGATTTCAAATGATAAACCTCATTGCCTTTACAATATATATTGATAAAGCTATTTGTTTTGTTATTTTTTCTTCTCAACAATATGGTTTTATGAATTAATGAGTTGTATGGTTTATACAGTTTATGTAGACTGATAAGGAAGATAAGTGATTAGAGCAGAAACATTATCTTACTGGTAAGTACAAACTATCACGAAACCCAGATCAGGTAGAATTTTCTGTCGAAAACTTCCAACTGATGATATGTGTCTAATGACATTAAGATGTGATCGGCTACGGAACGTGAAGTAACCGACACTCAATTTACAATTTAATATTTAGTTTCGTTCTAGTTCGTTTCGTTCCTAGAAGAGCTACAGCCTTAGTTTTCTCACTGTTTAACTTTAACTCAATTTCGTTCTTTAAAAAAAGATATTCTTCTCTTTTTTTTCAATTAGAAATATTCTGATTGTCAATGTGTAACCCCATCTACACTTAATCCATCTGGTTTAATCTCATCAATATCATTGTCATTATCATCGCCAATGAGCATAAATAAAGAGTTCTTATTAGCAAATAATTCTGGTGAAGTTTATCCTGGTCGATGTAAACCCAAGTGTACTTTATATGGTTTATTTCTAGCTATGTTATTCTTACATATTCTTTGTACTGGTATCTTACAAAATCCAAGTAATGTGATCACATTGAGGTAAGTGGATTGATGATGACGATTACTGAATATTGTTTTTTTTGTTTTAACATTTCTTATAAATGAAATAACCCTCTTCCTACAATGTTACTTTTTTGTGATTACTGTTCTTGAAAGATTTCATCTGAGCCTTGTTGATATGTGCAGTGGATGCCTTAATAATTCGATTATTACTAGCGTTAGCCCCTCACACTGAGGTTGTGATTGAAATTTAACTACACATCTAGTAATCGATATTTGGTCAAAGAATTTTAGCTAAAATAACATTCAATTACTGCTTCGTGTTTATAATTTTTCGAGGTTTACCAGAAGTATTCTTCCATGATTCTTTATTGATCTCTTGACAAGTAAACAACTAGGTTGAAACATTCATGTGTATCGCATGCACTATAACACATCGGTTTACATTTAGCTACTTACAACGAGTAGCAAATTCAAAAACTATTTATCATATCTTCATTTTTCTTCCGTGTCAGTCATCACTGTAACTACGTAAAATAAATTTCAATTTTAAGAATTCTTACAGATAAATCAAGAATTCGTCAAGAATCCGGAAATCAACTGAATAATGGTTTTATTCTATTTTCAAAAACCGTTGTCCCAAACTAATTCATGAGTAATGAAACTATAGTCTCAGTTAATTAAAATATCTCCTTTTCAACAATCGAATCATAGAATCGAACTACACTTCATCTAATTAGATTCAGGTCACTGGATAGTACTATTTGTAGCCCCTACAGACATATGCATTCATAATAGCGTAACTTAAGGTTGATTAGAGCTTCTTGGTCGATGAATTTATTAGTTCAATAATGAAATCTACTACTCTTGAACTTACTTGTTTCAGTAAGGCTATTTTCGTTCACCAAAAGCCTGTTGAAATATGAGAGATACATTCTAACCGAATGTATTCTTTTCTTCCTAGTGAGCAACCTTATAATCTGTAATTTATTACCGTATATTTGAAGAAAAATATGTTTTTTTTAATCATTGCAATGGCGTTTTTAAGACAGATTTTAAAAAATCAGTGAATATCTTAAAAACTACTATAACAGTGAAGGTTTTATGGAATTAATGAAATCAACAGAAATCGTCTAGGAAATCAAGGAAAACACTGGATACAACTGTTTCTTCTTAGTCTAAGACCCTCCTTAGCAGTCAGTTAGTCTGTTAAAACGTCAGATCTGGTACGTATGTACATCAGTTCAAAATGTCATACCTCATCAGCAAATCACAGAAAAGTAGGGCTAACAACATCGGTGATACGTTTCAAGAAAATATAAATTAATTAATTTAAAAAAGTCATTTAGAATCCAGAAGCTTAGAACTTGTAGGAAGACAAAGAATGGATGCACCTGCAGCACTGCATACGCTTTTGAGTCATATCATTCAAAGTTTCAAACCATTAGTTACGATGATCACTCGAAATCCAACCACCTGGTCTATACGCATTAACATAGCTCAGTTCAGTTGTTAGTGACTCCATGAACTGAGGCCATGTTATGTTTTGGCCGCCCCTAGCTTTCTTACAGAGTACTCCTACACCAGAAAACATCGTCCGTCGAGGTAGGCAGTGGTTGAACCCAAGTAACACATGTACCAACCACTTTAGTCGACAAAGATTCACTACCTCATCAATCACTTGAGCATCTTTGCTTAGTAGTCTATTCCTAACCCGAGCATTGCTTACTCCTTGTTCCCAAAATACACGAGACTCCTATGATCGAATACCAGTAAGCTACGAATATCCTCTACTCTATGTGACCCTGTTTTCCCATCCATAATGTACATTGTAGCGAACTGCTGCCTAAATCAGAAATGTAATATCAGTCTGATACAATCTAGAACAGATGTCTTCATGTAAATCACTCGTCATGTACTATCCTCACTTAATAGTACTATTGAAACCGTTCCGAGACTGAAAGACTCCTGGTTTCGTTCTCTGAAGTGTTATAGGTGAGCACTCCTCAAGAGGTTCACATAGTAGAATGATTATTCAGTTATGTTAAATTTTTTTTAATTTGGTTTTGAAATAACATTTATTTGTGCGATTATGTTCAAATTATTATTATTATTATTATTATTATTATTATTATTATTATTATTATTCAGCAAATGATTATATTTCGACGTATACTTAACAAGGTTATGACCTTATCAGTCATTCTAGTAGATAGGGTTAAACGGAACGTGCGTTAATTGAAGGTGAATAAACACTTGCATGCATGCTCACATGTTTGTTTGTTAGTTATTTAACTTGCGCGTCATGACATATCTAAACATTATAGTTAACTGAACTATTAATAGTAAGTTGTTGTAATGATCCGCCTGTAGCTCTTCTAGAGTTACTGCCGGTCCCAAGCTCGGGTAAAGGAGGAGGGTTGGGCATGGGGTTAGCGACCCCATCCCGTAGAAAAGCTAACTCGCTAAAAAAACGCTAACCAGAAAAAATAATTCAAACCATTTAAACTCTGCCCGGGGAGTTGAAGGAATAATGACGTCTCATGATGAAAGCCGAAATTCTTCGGAAGTCACCAGACCGATGCACCTTCTAACAACCAGAGCAACACTCTTTATAGGTACATGGAACGTCCGGACAATGTGGGAGACAGGAAAGACCAGCCAAATAGCAATGGAAATGCGGAGATACAACTTGGCAGTACTCGGAATCAGCGAAACCCATTGGACACAAACTGGACAACAAAGGCTAGGTACAGGAGAGATGCTGCTGTACTCCGGTCACGAAGGGGAAAATGTTCCACACACTCAGGGAGTTGCTCTAATGCTGTCCAAAGAAGCAAGAAATGCACTTGTGGGATGGGAATCTCATGGACCCAGGATAATCAAAGCATCATTCAGAACAAAGAAGCCAGGGATCACAATGAACGTTATCCAATGTTATGCACCCGCCAATGATAGCAACGACGATGATAAAGATCAGTTCTATGAAAGACTGCAATCAGTTGTAGCAAAGTGCTCAAGAAAGGACCTCACCATCCTGATGGGAGATCTAAATGCTAAAGTTGGAGTGGACAACACAGGATATGAAGATATAATCGGACGACACGGACTAGGAGAAAGAAATGAAAATGGGGAGAGACTTGCAAACCTATGTGCTTTCAACAAATTGGTTATAGGCGGCACAATATTCCCACACAAACGCATACACAAAGCTACATGGATCTCACCGGACCATACCACAGAGAACCAGATAGATCACATCTGTATCAACAAAAAATTCCGAAGATCAATGGAAGATGTAAGAACCCGGAGAGGAGCTGACATAGCTTCAGATCACCACCTGGTTGTGGCCAAGATGAGACTGAAGCTTAAGAAAGACTGGACAACTGGACAAACAGCACTACAAAGGTTTAATACAGCCTTCCTTCGAGATGCTGACAAGCTCCAAGAATTCAAGATAACTCTCAACAATAGGTTCCAAGCTCTACAGGATCTACTGAAAGAACAAGAAACTACTTTGGAGGACAACTGGAAAGGGATAAAAGAAGCACTAACTTCGGCGTGCCAGGAGGTTCTTGGTCCTAAGAAGCATCATCACAAGGAATGGATCTCTCTGGGAACCCTGGACAAAATTCAAGAAAGGAAGAACAAGAGACTAGCAATTAACAACAGCCGAACACGAGCAGAGAAAGTCAAAGCACAAGCAGACTACGCAGAAGCAAACAGGGAAGTGAAGAAAAGCATTAAAGCCGACAAGCAGAAATACATGGGACAACTAGCAACAGCGGCGGAAAAAGCTGCAATAGAAGGGAATATGAAACAACTATATGATACAACGAAGAGATTGGCAGGGAGATATAGCAAACCAGAGAGACCAGTCAAGGACAAAAAAGGAAAGACAATCATTGAGATTCAAGAACAGAGGAAAAGATGGGCAGAATACTTTGAGGAACTGCTGAATAGACCAGCCCCATTGAATCCACCGAACATCGAAGCAGCCCACACTGACCTTCCGATAGATGTCACTCCACCAACGATCGAAGAAGTCAAGATGGCCATCAGACAAGTCAAAAGTGGGAAGGCGGCAGGACCTGACAATATACCAGCAGAAGCACTGAAGTCAGGTATTGAAATAACTGCAAACATGCTTCACCTTCTATTCAAGAAGATTTGGGAAGAGGAACAAGTGCCAACGGACTGGAAAGAAGGATATCTCATCAAGATACCAAAGAAAGGAGATCTGAGCCAATGTGAGAACTACAGAGGCATCAGTTTGTTATCAGTACCAGGAAAAGTTTTCAACAGAGTGCTGCTGAATCGGATGAAAGACGCAGTAGACGCCGAACTTAGGGATCATCAGGCTGGATTCCGTAAGAATAGGTCGTTCACAGACCAGATTGCGACACTACGGAGCATCGTGGAACGATCAGCTGAGTGGAACTCATCACTATACATCAACTTCATTGACTATGAGAAGGCGTTTGACAGCGTGAACAGGAGAACATTATGGAAACTTCTTCGACACTATGGAGTTCCTGAAAAGATTGTCAACATTATCCAAAACTCATACGATGGACTACAGTGCAAAGTGGTGCATGGAGGACAGCTGACAGATGCATTTCCAGTAAGGATCGGAGTCAGACAAGGCTGTCTACTCTCCCCATTCCTCTTCCTTCTAGTGATTGACTGGATTATGAAGAATTCGACATCTGACGGGAAATACGGAATACAATGGACAGCTCAGAATCAATTAGATGATTTGGACTTCGCAGATGACCTAGCCCTCCTCTCTCATACACACGACCAAATGCAGATGAAGACCGCAAATGTAGCATCAGCCTCCGCATCGATAGGTCTAAACATTCACAAAGGAAAAAGCAAGATTCTCAAATGCAACACGGAGAACACCAACCCAATCACACTTGACGGCGAAACTCTGGAAGAGGTGGAAACATTCAAGTACCTGGGGAGCATCGTTGATAAACAAGGAGGATCGGATGCAGATGTAAAGGCGAGGATTGGCAAAGGAAGGGCAGCATTTCTACAATTGAAGAACATATGGAACTCAAAACAACTCTCAACTAATTTCAAGGTCAGAATCTTCAATACGAACGTCAAGACAGTCCTACTGTATGGAGCTGAAACGTGGAGAACTACTACGACCATCATCAGGAAGGCACAAGTATTTATAAACAGTTGTCTACTCAAAATACTCAACATCCACTGGCCGGATACTATCAGCAACAGCGTTTTATGGGAGAGGACAAACCAGCAGGTTCCAGCTGAAGAGGAAATTAGGAAAAGACGTTGGAAGTGGATCGGACATACATTAAGGAAATCACCAATGTGCATCACGACTCAATCCCTAACTTGGAATCCGGAGGGGAAGCGGAAAAGAGGAAGGCCAAAGAACACACTACGCCGGGAAATAGAAGCCGATATGAAAAGGCTGAATAGTAACTGGAAAGAACTGGAAAGGAAGGCTCAGGACAGAGTTGGATGGAGAATGCTGGTGAGCGGCCTATGTTCCTCGACGAGGGGTAACAGGCGTAAGTAAGTAAGTTGTAATGATCGGTTTCGTTCACAAAGCTTCATATGTGAACTAATACTGTGGTAGTAGATTAAGGTTTTTTTTTTTATTTCTCTGTTATTTAATATTGGCATAGGTGTTTTATGAAAATTATTGTTTTCCATAATATATACATGGCTAGCTAACTTCAAACTTTACGCTTTTTCTTTCTAGCTTTCAATGGTTGTCAATATGTGGTGTAGACATTAAAATATTCATTAATAATTGATACAGTTCAATTAATCATGTTCCATCTCACTTATTCAGTCTACTTGGACGAAGTCTGTATTGAAGTCGAGACCTTTATAGGAGGATTTAATTACCATCGAAATCAATTTTATAACTTATTCCTACCTCTGAGTTCATTTCTTATAACTTGAATATTCCTATTGCTTACTCTTATGGAAGTTTCTGACCACACGATTGTGTAATACGTAAATGCCATGGATAAAATCCTCATGACTCATCGGAAATACGGACTATAATTATGAAAATCTATCAGATATATTTCCAAATCTCAATTCACGAGCTGTCTACTATGTTTACCGTGCTCTTCTAAAATCAGAGAAGAATCTTACTGAATAGGATATATGAAGGAGGCTCACAACATCGTTTGATAAATTGTGTAACAGGTAGTGGCTGTGTTGAAAGTACAGCAGCAGATAATACTCGAAAATGGGAACCGAGAACACCAAAGTAAAAATTATGACAAAACAGCTATTTAAAGAATGGTCAATCAATGTCGTGGATTAATTGGAGTTAGACAATAACTCCATGGGCTTCTGACTCGGTAGTCTATATGTTAAGATCGAAGGTTCTCGTTTCAATTCCTGTATTTGGGATCACGTATACACACTTCTGACGAGTCCCACACTAGGACGAAATGGGCACCCAGTACTTCCGTGTGCTATAACTTAGATCACTTCATGGTCTCAAAGAAATGCAGTATAATTGGAATGAATTGTTCAAAAAATGTCAAGAATATGCAGTTCAAACTGAATATTACAAGTTTATGTAAACACTTAGAATTACTACACCACAACAAATAGACCACATTCTATTTGTTCAAAAGTTTTTAGCATTGAGTTTGTTTACTGATTATTATTCAGTAGCATGATTAATATGGCAAAAGAAAGTCTGTTAGAAAGAGAATAAATTTTTTCTTAAAACCCGAACGTACCGAACACTCAGACAATCTGGAACGAAGTGATGTTCTTTCCTTAAGTAGTTGATGAACGCTAATATCTTATTTAACATTCAAATATCAAGAATTAATACCGATGAAATGATTGTAAACAAATTAATCTAATTTTGATAGATGAGATCATAAATCAATTGAAGCTAGACTACCATAGAAAACCTGTAAGCACTGCACGGCCTTTTCGTCCTATTGTGGGACTCCTCAGCAGTGAGCATCCACGATCCCGCCTCACATGATTCGAACCCAAGTCCTATCAGTTTTGCTTGCTAGCGCTTAACCACTGATTCATGAACTCAACTATGAAAATTACTATAATATCCACAAAACCCCTTCTGAAAACTAACATAATATCA